AATAAGTTAAGTTAAGGTATAAAAATCCTAAACGTATTATTTACTCCACACGTTGCTTTCTCCCATCGATAGTTTCTATTATCAATGGTTATTTCCACAAATAAAATTTGTAAAGATAAGGAACCTTTTGAAAATACAATATAAATGGGTATGAAGATTTTAAATATGATCTGCAGATGGTCAGACCAGCATCAGTATACTTTCATGTTATAAAGAAATTTATTTGAAATATTCAATATATCTTTCAAGTGAGTCATTTATATATAATTTCAATGAATTTTTCATTAAAAAAATGTTATTGTTTTTAGCAATCAAATCATATTCAGCTCTTTGTTAATAATTCAAGTTTTGTTTGATTTGGTACTTCCGTGAAAGTGAATCAGATGGAATAAGGATACATATTCAGATAAATATTCTACTATCTGGATTTTATCTGACTCAGTTTTGTTCAAGTCTCACTCAAAGTTATGTCTTAATGTTAAACAGAATCGCTATCTACGTAACAAAATCTGAACAGTTTACTAAATAGCTGCTCAGTTAGTTTACTAACAACAGTTAGTTTAAGCCGAATAAAAGAAGGTCGAATGAGTTTTTAATGTAAAATTGAAAACATTTTGAGCTGGAATTACTCTAATCTCTGCTGGTAATTTACGAACCAAACAGAATGCGATAGATTTGAAAATACAAAGCAGATTACATATTTTAATGCCATATTTAAATCTCATCTGCTCAGTTGGCCCCTGGTATATAATTTATGGAAAAACTTTCGAACCCAAAGAGAGATTTTTTACCCGATGCTTCATTAATTTATGAATACCAAATTGTATGCTGACATTGCCCAGCAAAAACTATTTAAAACTTACGCCTGCGACAAGGGTTCGTGGCCCAATCCCCCACAAGCTTCGGCTTCAGCTAACAGACATCAACAGACAGACCGACCGACCGACCAGTATATCACCCTGCCCGCCCCTCTCGCCGGCTCAATTCAGTTTGGTGCATGATTGAAGTACCCGCATGTGCGGAACATTTTAAATATTTACAAAGATATTTCAAAAAACGCTTTTGGCATGTTTTGTTGCCGTTGCCGTTGCCGGCGTGGTCAGAGGTCCACAGTTCTGCAGTCGTTCAGCTTGTGTCGAATGTTTTTTGCTCACTTTTTGGTCGGGCGCCCATGAAGGGGGAAGTTCAACTTCAAATGCGGCATAAGGGCAACGTTTGCCAAGGGCTACTGGACGGGGTAGGGGGGAGTGGGCAGGCTGAGGGGGAGGTGGGGGGTGCGTCACTTGAGCGCGCGTGTGTGTCCCTTTTAGGCAAGTGTCAAAAACCGTTGGTCAAAAAACCGTATGGCAATTATTCAACACAATTGAATATGAAGTGTGGCAAAGACAGCGGACCAGGCCGACGGGCGGGAAGCAAAAAAGTTGCAGCGCTTGGCAAATAATGAAAAATACACCCACATCAGTATTTTTTGGCTGTCTGCACTGGCACACACACACACACATACACCTACAAAGACAAACACAAACAGCAACACACACACACACATGGAAACACTGCCAACATTTCCGCACCCTTTTCATGCCAGAGATGCTGATGCTGTTGTTGTTGCTGCTGTTGTTGCTGTTGTTGTCGTTGTTGTTGTCGCTGTGCAGTTGCTGCCGCCTGGCAATTTTTCGGTGATAAAATATTTAAATTTAATTAAGGCCACCAACGAGCAACACGATTTCCGTGCCATGGTCAAAGCCGGGTGTTGTCCATGCCGGCCAAGCCAAGAGGAGTCAAGAGCCCCACTCCAGTTTCAGCATGCCGTGCCCTCTCTCCCCTCTCCCACACTCCATCTGTTTTTCTGCTGCCACCCGTACATTTGCGGGTGGTGCGTTTTGGAGGCTTTCGGGATTGGCCAAGAAATTCATTAAAAATTTTTGCTTTGATGTTACCAAATTCTTTTTCAAAGTTTTTATGTACTTTTGGCTTTTGTGCAAGTGGCGCATGAATCTCCCACGGCAACAACAACAACAACAGCAACAACAACTACGGCAACAACAACTACGGCAACAACAGTCACATCTTGCACTTTTTTTTTGTGGCAAACTGAGCTTAACCACTTTCCATCTGGCAATGTTTATATCAGCCAGCACACCAGCTCACTCACTCACTATTCGCTTTGTAATTAAGCTGAACAGTGGCCAAAACTCTCTCAGGCAGCTGCTTCCTGCTATTAGATAAGTTCTTTGGCAAACATATTTCTACCAAATTTAAATTGAACACGCTGCCAAATTGTTGCGAAAGCAAAAGTTTCTCATGCCGCCAGCTCAATCGCCAAAACTTATTATGCTTACATATATTTTTGCTAGTTGTTGTTGTTGTTGTTGTTGTTGTTGTTGCTCTTTCTGTTGCCGTCTTGTATCTTAAACTATTTGATATGTTCGTGGGCTTGCAGCACTTGAAAACTTTTGATCTTGAGCTGAGAGTTTTATTTTTATTTTATTTTATAGGTATGTGTGTTTGTGTGTGTGTGTGTGTGTGTATGTTTTGTGTTGGCTTTTAATTTTGTGCAAATATTTTTCATTGTGCGTTTGAAATATTTTTGGAATTATTAGCAAATATTTGAAATGGTCCCAAACAATGTTCGTGCGTCCCGGCAAGGTGCCTCGAATATTGTGGCAACCTAGCCGAAATATGTGCATGGCTTAAGCCGGTGCTCGTTTGGCTTCCACAAATTAGAAAAGTGCACAAGTTCAAGTTTTTGGAGATTAGGCAAACTTAACAAGCGCAAAGTATTAAAGTCTTTACGACTAAAAGGGAATTTATGAAATTCGGGAAAATATCAAATATTTAATTAAAGAGTTGCTAACTTGACTTACGAACATTAATAAGCAAATCCCTTGTGAGTTGTCAAGTTGAAAGATAAATTATTTGCTGTCATTCTGCTGGCCCTCCAACTAGATTTACGCTTTTAAGAAGACATTGGTTCCATATAATAAATAAAGCAAATGCATTTGCATTGATTTCTCAGCTGATAACATGACTAGAATTAATTAAGACTTTAGTTTCAATTTAAGTTTATTTCTGCTCAAATAATAGAAATATAAGTAAAACAAGTTTCAGCACATTTAATTAGTTTACAAACCTTTTGTGCACACCTCAATAGATGATTGAAAGCTCTGCTTCTTCTTATAGCTTGGCTAGATTCCGAATGCTAAACACCATACACTGAGCTGTTGGCAGCTGCCGAAGGTAGACTGTAAAAACAATTGCAGCAATTTATTGAAAACTGCTCGAAACAATGAGCTGGCAGGAGGCGAGGGGCGGGGTACGGGGGTCGAGTTAGCTGGGTAGCAGCAGGTGCAACTGTAATAGCAACCGATGCTGGACATGTTTACGAGTTTTTCACATTTAAAATTCCATTGTTTGGCTTCGTTTTGACAAAGTGCGTAAAAGCAGGCGGAATGCAGCAGCATGAGACGAGGCGGCCAGCCAGCAGTTGCAGCAGAGGCAGAGCAGGTGCGAGCAGGAGTCGAGCAGGAGACCTACTCGGCTGCCAATTTTAAAGGCATAAGCAGGAGGCGCAGGCAAAGTGAGCCAGGGCAAGCAGCATTTTGTCTTGCTGCTGCTTGCTGCTTGCTGCCATTGCTATTGCTATTGCTGTTTGTCAAAGTTGCCATTTCAGGCGTGCTGAAATGAAAAGCAAACCTTTTTAACAGCAGCAGCAGCAGCAGCAGAAGCAATAGCCGCCGCACCGACCATATGCTCTATACCTATAGTATTTTCGGTTTTCACACTCCTTCATGCCAGGACAGGGGGCTGCGGTTGTGGAGCTGTGGAGTTGTGGAGCTGCGGACTGCAAACTCAACAGGCGCACACGGGGCGTATACCAAATTAAAATGCACTCAGCTGAAAAATTGGTTTTCTCGTTTCTGAAAAACTTTGAGTGATTTCTGAGAGTCTCTAACGAGTGCCAGCCCAGCGGCCAAGCAGAGAGAGAGTGAGTGAGAGAGAGAGAGAGAGAGTGAGGGAGAGAGAGAGAGAGAGTGAGTGGACCGGGAGCCGGGGGCCCTCGGCTGGATATGTAAGCAACAACCAGCTGCCGTACAGCAGGCAGGAGGCAGCAGGAGGAAGAAACAGCAGAGCCTAAGCAAAGGCAAATGAATGTTTTTGTTATGCCCACAAAATTTCAAAGCACCTGAAATTACGCATTGTTTTTTTTTTTCGAAATTATTTTAAGAAATTGTAATCAAGCGTGTCGAAGGTTTTGCTCCCGCGCACAACAAAAATTATTCATAAATTACCAGAGACCCGAGCCGAAGAGGGGCGACAGGACGCAGGGACGAAGCGACATGGCCCGCTCTCTTACTAATCAAAAATGAATGTAGCCAAAGCTGAGACTGAGGCATATTTTACGATATATATTATCAAGTTGTGCAAATATATATCACAGAAGAAGAAGAAGAAGAAGAATGTGTAGTTGCAGTTGCTTAAATTTGTGAACTGTTTAGTTTGGCCTTAATATACTCTAAGCATTTATTAGTCAGTAATTTTACCTCAATTGTGTTCTCTTTGCAGTTAAATAAAATTCTGGTAGCACGCTTTCAAGTTGGATAACCTAGGAGCTGGACAGTCGGACAGTCCTGCTGTGGGACTGCGCCTAATGGGCATTCTGCCTTGCTCGCTGCAGTGGCAGCCAACGCCAACGCCAACGCCGACGCCGGCATCAGCAGCTGGCGGCAAGGCGCCCAAGCTGAGCTACTCCAGCACAACGGCACGTGCCAACAGCAATCCATATCCGCTGCCTGGCAGCAGTAACTGCTGCAACAACAGCGGTCAGCCGCCACCGCCAGCTGCCAGCTGCTGTCAGGAGTGCCGCTGCTGCCGGCAGAGCTATGAGCACCTGCCCATGCCAAGGCTGCAACAGCCGCCGCCGCCACCGCCGCCGCAGGCGACAGCACAACATCAGCAACATTCGCATCCGCATCCGCATCCGCACCAGCATCAACATCAACCGCCTCCTCATCAGATCAGCTGCATCACAACGCTGCAGCAGACGACAACAACGCAGCAGCTGCCGCCGTTTGCCTGCCTGGAAGCAGCTGGAACGCCTGCGCAGCAGCCAGCCGCTGGCAGTTGTCAACAAGCGAGTACTCCCTGCCACGCCCACTGCAATAATACACACAACAGCAACAGCATTGGCCTCAGCTCTGCCAGCTGCCACAACAACTATGACTTTGCTTTGAACTACAACAACAACAACAGCAACACGAACAGCAACATCAACAGCAGCAACACGGCACCGCCCATGATATTTGTGCCCTTCAGTATGCCTGTGCCGCCTCAGACGGTGCCTAATCCGTTCTCACATGCTGCCAAGGAGTCGGCGAAGCCATTCGGTCAAACGCCCGCACCACCGCCGCCGCTGCCACCACCGCCACCGCCATCGCTGCTGCTGCCGCTAGCGTTTCAGTGCCACTACCAGACGACGCTACCCAGAGCCGGACCGCTGCCCGCCCGAGCACCGCCAACACCGCCCGCGCGGCAAGTGCTGCCGCTGAAAGTCGTCGCTGCGGCGGCCATCAGAGCGCATCAGCAGGTGAGTGCAGTGTCCATTCAGGTGCTACTCAGGTGCACTGGCAAATCGCTGGGTGCATCGGATTGAGTCAGTAAAGACTTTCGAAATGCTGCAATGTGTGTGCCTGTACCTCGGCGCGTATACTTAATATTTATTAGTTAACAAGAGCTGCACAAAACTTCAATTTGCATAAACATAAAAGACAACAGCAGCAGCGGCAGCAGCAACAACAACAACAACTGCAGCTAAGTCGAAAGCTTAGCAATACAATTTCGGTGCATGTTGCTGGCGAGATTTAACGCAGAGGCAGCACACAAAAAATCAAAGTTACATGGACAGGAAATACAGCAGCAGCGAGCGGAAGTGAAAGGACAGGCTGCGCTGATATTGAAAGCAAAAGAGAGATAGACTGAGAGAGATAGGACGATAGAGAGAAGGGGCGGGGTGGAAGGCAGGGTTGGTGGCATGGCTCACGAAAATCTAATGCATAACCTAGTAAGATCATCAACACGAAATTTTACAGCAAACTCATGTCCAAGGATGTGGAAATAAACTTGTTGTTTTGCAGCAGCCCCTGCCATTCCGACTGCTGCTCCTCCTGCTCCTCCTATTGCTGTTCTGCGCTCAATGACTTTTGCATTTAATATGAGTAAAGCAGCGAGCAGAACAACAACAACAGCAACAGCAACAGCAACTAAAAAATGGCAACAAACTACTGAAACCTGTGCTCAGCTTTTGGGGTTGGCTGAGCTGAGCTCAGCCTGAGAGTCCTGAGTGCTGTCCAGCGACATGCAAACGCGCCTTGTAAATTACGTTCTTGCTTGTCAGTTGTGTTTCCCTTTTTCCCTTTTTCTTTCGTTTTCGTTTTGGTTTCTGTGCTTGTTTTTGTTTTTGGCCAAAGGCAAGGACTCGGATACAACTGCACAGATAGCGTGTGCCTTGTATATTCCGCATTTCTTTTTAGTTCGGGCAGCGCTTTGTCTGCTTGTGCATAGCAGATCAGTATATTCTGATTAAGAATCAGCAGCAGCAGCAACTGTAGTTGAGCAGACACACATACTAACTTACAGGTTTAAAATAAATATATATACATATATATACACGCAGAGTTTCGCTTAGCACCCACCTGCAACTGCTAAAGCAAGTATGAAAATTCATAAGCTCACAGCTAGCAATTTGAAGTTTCAGTTTCAGTTCCAGTTTCAGCTTCAGCTTCAGCTTCACTTTGCTCCTTTGCTGACAACTTGCAGTTTGTCAAATTTCGCCTTCACTCGCACTTACTTTGAGCGTGCTTCCCGTAGACACATCATCTACAGCATTTTAAATAAACATAAGCAAAATGCATATTAGGCGAAGGACCTCTTTCCTCTTGGCTCGCTTCACAGCATGTTTCTTACTTGTGCTCATTCATTCGCCTAAGTAGTTTTATTTAGCTCTCGAAATGTATGCTACAAAGCATTTGCCAAACCCCACCCCCCCCCATCCGCACCTCCTCATTCAGTTTCTTTTTTGCGTCTTCTGCACATTTGAATGTTAAATCTTCCATGAAATGCCCTTTTTCGACTGCACGAGTGTGAGTGGCCATGTGTGTGTGTGTGAGTGCCTTTGTAACATATCCATAACTGTCCGTTCTGAGACACATTCACATATCTGTAAGTGTATTGCGTGCATGTGTGTGTGTGTGTGTCTTGCGGTCTGGTTTTCAACTACAACTTAACAATGCCTTGCCTTCATCTTTCAAACAGTCCAACCAAAATTCGTTTGTTTTTCCTGCTCGACGTTCGTCCATTTATAGTTTACTTTTTTCTTTTTTTTTTTTGCCTCTCCGGCTCTTCTTCTTCCTCTTCAAAAGCCGAGTCTGCAGCACAAAGAAACCATTTATGCACTCACTTTAATGTTTGCACTTGGTCATTGTTATAATGTACTCCCACTGCAGCTCCACATGACTCTAGGTGTTTGTTTGTGTACTTCGCTTATGTGAGCTCAGTTAGCCTCCTCCTGGCAAGCTTTTTGGCTCTGAGGCTCCTCTGTTCAGCTGTTGTTTTGTCAAAATACTGCACTCGAGAACCCATGAAGCTTTTCTCTTTTTATATCACTCTCATCCGGGCAGCAGACCCCAATTGACCCACCCACAGCATTATGCTAAAATAACACTCGGTCGGAAAATAATAATTGCTCCGTTCATATTCCATGTGCCATTGCCGAGCTTTTTAAAGCGGATTTCGGTGTTAGAGCTCCTGCCGGCGAGCATGGCGATCTAATGGCTGTCGAGGGGCGGGAGGTGTGGCTGGCAGCCTTTGGTTTTAGCATTTGCATATTTAAGCAGCTTCATATGTGCTGCATTTGGCTCTGTTTGCAAATTCAGGTGTTGCAGCTTCTTGTTGCATCTGAGTGCCATAAGATTTTGAACAATTTTAACCCCAAAGAGAAATCTTGAATCTGGCTGATTATGTTGCGTGCATAGAAAAGATTTATTTATTTCTTTTTATTATTATTTTTTATACCCTGAACCCATTGAAAATGGGAAATCAGGGTATAATGGTTTTGTTGAAATGTATGTAACAGGCAGAAGGAGGCGTGGCAGACCCCACAAAGTATATATATTCTTGATCAGGGNTTAATAGTTTGGTTATTCTAGCAGATTCTTAGAATCACATCAGCAGTTAGTTTCATTTAGTTTTGGTAGATGGCGCTGCAGCAGTGAATCTATTTGAGTTTTGCCAGCGCCACTAGCAGGAGTGAGGTGGCCTAGTGTGTTAGCAGCATGACGCTCGACCGAGGAGTCGCGGTTCGAATCCCGGTCGATGCAACTGATGTTAATTTTTTTTTAATTATTTCAAAATATTTTTATATTTTATTAAATGAGTTTGGTATTTTATTTATATTTTTAAATACATCGAAATTGAAATTTCAGCCATACTAAATGAGCATTTTTATTTATATCTAGTCGAGCACTCTCGACTAGAGTTTTCTTACTTGTTTTATTATTTAGTTAGAAACTGAGAATTTTTTTCTACATACTGAATGTAATATTACGATTTTATAGAGCACATCGAGCACCTCTGAATTGTAGCTTTTTCAGCCTACCAAAGCTGCATCAAATTTAAATTTACGAATTGAAATTTCGATTTAATTTTTAGTTTCTTTTCGTTAATATCATATATCATATGTATAAACAAATATGTGAAAAAAATATTTTAATGTGAGCACCATCAGCTAGGAGTAATTCTAAGATATTGCATAGACAAATGAGGACAGGAATTTAATTAAAGTAAATACTTTACATATATTTAATGATTTAATACATATTTCATATATGAACTGTTCAGACTTCTTCTTCTTCTTCGATAGTATTATTCAAATCATTTTTAATTTTTTCCTAGTAAACAATAAGCATTTTAAGCTTGCTATTCATTTTTCAAGCCATTTATATTCTGATTATTTTTAAATAATTAAATATCAAATGGCAACAGCAAATAATGTTAACGCTTCACATTTTCGAAAAACCCATTTAAATAGATATTTTATACCCTGAACTCATTGAAAATGTGAATTCAATGCATAATAATTTTATGAAATTGTAAAACATTTCAGTATTATATATGATACGGAATATATTTAAAAGCGCGATTCAGTCGGAACTCAGAGGGATTTCCTAGTTAAACATGGTCTTCTTTTTATTTGGAGCTGCTTAAAATGATTCATTTTTGAAGCTCGAATCATTCTGGAACGGCTTTTTAGCACTTTATGGCATTTTTCTGGACAGCTCGTGTCCAGCCAGCAGAATCCATTTATCCGATTGTGGATGCCAAAAGACGACATTGCTATCTGTTCTTTGTGGCGATCGAAAGGCATTGCGAAAGACAGAACGTAAAAAGGCAAAAGCAGAATGAAATTAAGCGGCTCCCAGAGACTAAAAGCAAAGACAATGGATGTTGGGTCGGCAGAAACAAACAGTCACGTTGAGGTGGCGCCAAATAAAGTGCAGAGGCCAATGCAATGGGGCAGCGGGCAGCGGGAAGGAAGCGAGAAGCGGAAGGCAGTACGCGTATCCTTTGAATGCGAGTGGAAGTGGCCTAATGGCCTCGGGCTGATGTGTGATGCATGGTCGTAAGTGAATTCATATTTTATATACCGTTAACATACCAACAAAAAGCAACACAGGACAAAGGATACTCTGTGTTTGTGGGGAGGCAGCGAGAGCAGCGAGAGGCAAAAAGAAAAACCAAACGAATCGTTAACTGATGTTGTCATTACTTTGACACATAGAAATACGGAAATAGAGAAGTACAGAGCAAAGAGATACAGAAATACAGATGAAGGACACGCTGAGGCAAGGCGCAGTGCAGGCGATGGCTCTTGATACTTTAGCCAAAAGAAATCCGATATTTATGTCAGGGGATGCAATATCAAAGCAACGCTTTGTGGCCAGCGCCAACAGCTGAAAGCTTTGTGCGATGCTGAAATGACAGTTGAAATGGCAAATTGGACAAGTTAACAGTAAAAACGGCGATGCGACCAAACGTGAAAAGCGATGCCAACAGCGCAAATCAAAACCTTGACTTGGGCCCTGAGCCACTAAAAAAAGAGCTCGCATTGTGCTGTAATACAACTGTGACAGGACTACATGAACAGCTGCTGTTGCTGCCGCTGCTGCTGTTGCTGCTGCCGCTGCTGTTGCTGCTGTGGTGACTTTCTCGCCTTTCATACAGCTGGCTGGCTGTGCTAATCAGTTGCAGCAAGTGCTTCATTCCACTCAAGTTCGCCCCAATGTCCTGTGCGGCCTGATCCCACCATGGGTTTCCATGGTTCACAGTGCGCTGTTAATTTAATCTGTGCAGCGGCCGCGAGGTGGCGTTGCTGAAATTCGATGGTGTTGAATAGCGTGTAATTCACCGCATCTACAAATACATATGCACCAGCAATCGTGTGTGTGTGTGTGTGTGTGTGTGTGTGAGTGTGGTACGCATTGGGTTGCCAAGAATCTCTGAATTGCCGTTGCCCAAATAAAAAGGACGATGCGAACTGCGAACTGCGAACGTCGCAGCAGCAACAGCAGCCGCTGCCGAGGCGACTTCGTTTTCGCTATTTTTGTTGCTGCCACTTGAAAGCTTTTACCACAATGCTGCTGTATGTGTGTCTCTCTTTGTGTGTGTGTGTGCGTGTGTGTGTGTGAGCCTGTCAAGTGCTTCTTTGTTGAAACTGCTTGCGCTCACGGATGATGTGTCCGTGTGAATCTCTTCTCTGTCGGTGTGTGTGTGTGTGTGTGTATTTGTATGTGTCTGTGTGTGGCGCCAAATTTCAAAAGCAAGTCGCTGTGAAAGCTCTTTATTTTTAACGGTTTATTTTACCTGACACTCGAAGAGCTGTAAGCAGGCTTGCGTTTGAAACTGTAAACGTTGCCAACAGCCGCCTCACCTCCTTCAGCACGCAGAGCACACGACACGCCGGATGCTTTACAATCCGAAAGGCGTTAAGGACATACACATCATAAATTTCTTTCATAGGCAGCTTATGCGAGACTTGCAACTATCAACTCTTCAAACAATTTGCGGCTGTCTCTTGTCGAATTTAAGTCTTCTCTCTCTCTCTCTCTCTCTCTCTCTCTCTCTCTGTCTCTTTTTGCGTTGTGTTCTCTGCGGCTGAGGTCAGGGCAGCAGTAAGAACGCGAATTAAATGCAATTGACAGTCGCAATTTCAAGCGAGCTGTCAGGCCAAATCCCAAACTGCCGCTCAGCGCAAAGGCATGGGCCGGGGGCAGCAGGGCAGCAGCTGAAGGGCGAAAACTAGAAAGAAAAGCAAACAACAAAAACAACAAAATGCACAGCAACAGCAAGAGCAACAACAACTGAAACAGCGGCAGCTTAGCCAAACTGTGCTGTAACACAATAAAATGCAACCTCAACTGACAAAGAAAATGTTTCCTAATGTGGAACAAGAAATCGCTCGTGCGGGGTGATGGAAAGGGGGCGGCGCGCTGCAGCCACGGGGCGTGTCGCTGGCAGAGATAGACAACACGTAAACGAAACGACAATGCCAAGCCACGGCTGTCAAATTAAAGGCAGGCAGTCAAGCAGGCAGCTAACAGCGGAGGCAACCGGAGTTGTGAACGCGTGCAACATTCTTGGCCCTAAACAAAAAATACGACAAGCCCAACAACAACAAGAACAGCGAGTAATGCGAATCCTGCGACTCCTGCCCGCCACTTGCGGAACAAGTGCAGGTGTCAAGAAGTTGGCTAAGATCTAAGCACGCTGATTGACATCAATGCAGCGCCAATGCTCAGCAGCTATGCTATGTGGATGAAGCTATCTGCTAACAAAAGTTAGTTAAGCTGAAAACGGTATATCTAACTATTACAGGGAAGCAGTTGTCTTTATATACTAATATAACTGAGTCTTAAGTGCGAATTTGGAAGTCTGGCAGAAATCCTGATCTACTCGCGTATGAATATTGCAGTCGATCATTACTGACTCTATAATACTTTTTGTACAACTTGCAGCTTTCTTTCTTCTTCATAAATATTGCAGCAATGTCCGTCCGATTGGCTTGGTTTGAAAGTGAGCAAAGCATTTATAAACAAACATAGAAAGAGCGAGCATAAGCCATGAACTTGCTGCTCTTAAGTTGAATTATATTATAATTCCTAAATATATTACTATTTATGAATAATTCTATACTAATACAGCCTGAAATGATACACTGCAAAATATGAAAATATTGTATTTATTTATTTTCATTATTTCATTTCATTTATTTCACTCTTTTTAAATATATTATTAAATATATTACAATTTATTATAAATTGTATTACAATTAGGGATAGTATGAAAATAAAAGTGACTTATAGAAACGACATTGGCTATAGAGAAGATCTTATCCATGTTTTCTACTCTTCGTTTTGTAGGGTTTTTCGTTTTTATATAGCTAGATAAATAGGCAGATAAATAAATTTACTGCAATGCAAATTTCTGGCTCCATGGCTTCAAATTCAAAACATTTGTATTTAAATTACACTTTTAAAGGATTTCTCTATTAATATGCCATTAGAGAGAGAAGGAGAGAGAGAAAGTGGAGTGTGTCGGAGAGGCTGGGAGAGGAATTCCTCTCTCGTCATTGACTAAGCAGCATAATTACCTCAACAAGGCCATGGAAATATAATTAAAATGAAAATTTACATATAATGGCAAATTATTTCATTTGGTTTTTCAAATGAAAAACTCTTATTTATGGAATTTTCCAGCACTTACTAAAATTGTCGCAGTCGATTCGATCACATATTGCTGGCCGGGCTAAGCGTAGCCACAGAATCTATATCGAACTGGGCAAATACCTTTGTGCATTGCTGATTTAATTGTTCATCCAATTAAAATAATTTAATAAACCATAAAATAAATTTATGCAAATAGATGAGCTTGCATGTGGGCTAAATACGCTCGCACTTAGTGATATAAATAAATGAGTAAATTCCAAGATAACCAGGTGATTGTGTGCGTGTGCTTCGTAATTAAATTGCCTTTTGCATTTAGCAAATTAAAGTTTACCAGCTTCAGCCACAAACTTAACCGTTGACCAGTGTCTATTAAGGATTTGCAATTTATGTGCCACGCCCAAAAAACACCAAGAGCCCGCAAATTGCAACTAATGTGAAGTTGTCTGCCAGTTGTTGTTGTTGTTGTTGGTGCTGCAATAACAATTTGCATTTGTTGTTGCCCGGCCTGGACTGGCCCGGTCTGGCCTGAGCCGGAGGTCGCATTCTGAGCCGACGTAAGTGAGCTTTACCGTACGGTGAGTTATTCAAGCATTCATTCAGTGTTCAGTTGAGCAACATCGAATGCCATTCGATACATGAAATAACTTTGGCTCGCTTTAGTTGTTTATTTTCATGTTGCCGTCTGCACGGAAATATTTGTGCAAATTCTTTTGGGGCTTATTTGCAAGTTTATACAATGGAGAGCAGCTCACATAACTTGGCCAGTCAGCGGCAAGCTCATCTCACTCTCTCGCTCTTCTCTACTTCTCTGCCAGTGCAGAGCTCACATAAATAAAAGTGAATAATGCGCAATATACAGCACGAAATTAGTGAGAGATGTGAGATGCAAACAAATGAGAGGGAGAGAGAGAGAGTGACAGCAGTGTAGAGATCTCTTCTACATAAAAGGCTTCTCAGCTGTTACCCACAGCATTCTTTGGGATCGCTCAACAGCTGCTATTGCCAATAATTGATATTCACCTGGCCAGCAAGGGCAGAGCGTGTCTCGTGCGTGCGTCACGATTCAGTCCTCATGCCTCAACTGTTTGCAATGTCTGAAACAGTTTTATTTGTCTTTTGCCCACGTGCACGTCTCTATTTTCAATAACAAGTAAAAATGCTGTGCGACTGCGACTTGGGGTCCTCGTCTAGTGAATTGTCGGTGCGATTCGCCTCCTGATCGACTCTCGACTTGGTTCTCGACTCCATTATATTTGTCGGTATTTTTCGCTGCTTTTTCAGCATTTAATTGGGCGTATAATTGATTGGGGCATTTCATGTTGTGGTTGTTGTTGTTGTTGTGGCTGTTGTTGTTATTGTTACTTTGGTTGCTTTTTGTTGCTTTTTCGAACGCGCTTCACTCGCCTCTTTCAGCATGCTCCTTGGCCACTAACTCATTATTTTGAGTGTGTTTCGCAGCAGCATTTGAAAATAATTTCTTCATAGAAATGGCCAAGTTTTGTGTGCGGCGTCTATTGATTTAGCATCGCCCGCTTTACTTCTTGATATCTACGAGCTCTGCCCCTCTACACCACATGCCCTTGCCACTATACTTCAGCTCACGTTCACTGTGTGTGTGTGTGTGTGTGTGTGCGTTTATAAATTTGTATTGTGTTTACTTGTATTTTGTGGTAATTAATTGTATTTGCCTTCGACTCAAAATGTCAGTGGGCTTCTAATTATTATTAGTCTAACGAAGCAAAAACGCCTGCCGCGCCCATCCGCCCCCAGTCAGCACCCACAGCCACAGCTGAGCTCGTATCCATGCCGTTTTGCCCGCCGTGTTGTCTACAGGTTGTTTGACATTAATTGATTTATTTGCCTCTCACATAAATTAGGAGCTGCCATCAGATATTTGGTTACACCAACTGTATTCGGCAGCCAGTCAGATAAGCGTACTCCTACGCCA